ATTCGTATCCCTTGGGGGCTTGGCCACTAACCTTTTAGGATGAACTGAACCCGAGGGGGCTCCCAACTGGTCGTCCTCGACCCTGATTTTTGATTGGTATTGGTTGTGCACATCTGATCACATCACAGCTGGATACTCGATCAAGTTCTGCTTTAATTGTCGAGAGGCAATCGAGCTCCGTTCGTTCAAACCTTGCATAAAGGCCTGTACTGCCCAATCATCGGAGACCGGTGGTAATTCCATTCTTTCCATCTGAAACCTGGACACGAACTCCCTCAACATCTCGTCGTCCCTTTGTTTTATCTTGAAGACGTCTGATTTCCTCGTGGCTACCTTTATGGCCCCGGCATGTGCTTTCACGAAGGCGTCTGCTAACATAGCAAATGATTCAATAGAGTTAGGAGGTAAGTTGTGTTACCAAATCATGGCTCCTTTCGACAATGTTTCTCCAAATTTTTTTGACAAGACTGATTCAATCTCGGCGTCATTCAAATCATTTCCTTTGATCCCGAAAGTGTATGAAGTAATATGCTCGTTAGGGTCGTTGTCCCGTTATATTTGGGTATATCGGGCATGCAAAACTTTTTAGGAATAGGCATCGGAGCCGCACTTTGGGGGAACAGTTTTTGTATGAACTTTTTCGTATCTAATCCTTTCAAAATTGGGGGTGCCCCCGGTATCTGGTCTACACGGGAGTTATAAGTCTCCACCTTCTTATCGTTATCTTCAATTTTCTTTTTTCCAGACTTGATCCTCTTAGTGAGCTCTTCGATCATTTTCATAATGGCGGGGTCAGTCCCCGAGTCGTTTCCATCTGGCCTTTCTGGGTTGGTTCAGCACGTCGATTGTTTTCATGTTCAGCTACACTCGGGGTCTTATTTTGACTTTGAAGTTGAGCAATGTCGGCCTGTTGGGCTTGCAACATTTCGAATATCACTTGGAGGCTGACTCCCCCATCTCCTGTTCCTGGTGTTCCTTGGTTCCCTGGTCGGGCTTCCCTGCGTACACTCCCTTTGGGGTCTGTGCCTAAGTTGGTGTTTAGAGCAATATGATAACCAACATCAACTGGTTCCTTGTTTGGCACTTCCCCAGGGTTTACCGGCGGTACACCGACCCCTATATTGTTGTTTTCACCAAGACCTTCGTTGTCATGAACAGGTGCATTCTGTGAGCTAGACATGTTTCAGCCTGAGAATAAAAAATTCTTGACAAGAAAAAGTGTAAAAATAATGTGTGTAATGAGAATTAGTAAAGAAACAATCACTATTATCTTTAGCCCCACGGTGGGCGCCAAACTGTTTACCTCGAAAATATGAGTAATAATTAAATTTGATTTGTGATTTTAAAGATACGTGATTAGATTCAATACCAATTTATAATCAAGAAATATGAGGTAGAAATGAAAGAGATAAGTGAATCAAACCAATGTTGCTTGACAGCGGTGACCTCGAGTTGGGCTTAGAACAACAAGAACGATTCAGTAAGAAAAGTAAAGTAAGAACAGTAGAGCTAAAGGACAATGCTGATGAACAGTAGACAAAGGCAGAGAGTATATTATTTTCTCAGTGATTATGTGTCGTTACAAATGATTGGGGTCCCCTTTATATAATAGGGGAACCCTAAATAAGGAATATTTCTATTTACAGTAAGGAATATTCTTGGTACAGCTGTCTAACCGCCTAGTACGGAATCGTACAACCCTATTCCGGAATTTGTGCCATGATCATAGGAACGTGGCAGGAATATAGCTTATTCTGTTACAAACTCATAATGGTACTATCTCGGGGTCGAGCATACTCGGCCTCTGTACGGATCGTGCTCTATCTTCAAACTCGGGTCTGGTCCCTCGAGCTCGAACTCGACCTCTCCGCGACTCGGTCCCTCGAGCCTATAATCGGAGGCATGCGATTATGACCGTACAACATATGCATGATGCAATATATTCATCAAATCGGAAATGAAAAAAATGACAGACCAAATCCAAAGGGAAGGGACATAACTTTTCTAACAGATTAAAGAAAGTGGAACAGAAAAGAGGGGAGGGGGGTGGGGGTGGGGGTGGGCGGGGAAAGCCGCCAAATTATTACTTTATTATCAAAAGAGATAAAGTGGGAAAAAGAAATGGCATGACAATCTTTGGCTTTTTCTAAGGTTTCTTTGCTCAAATTTTGAAATATGCCTCTAAAATGACTACAAAGATTGTTCTCGACTAATATCATAATTCACAGTTTATAGTACGGGGTGTCAAATCGTTTGGATTGGTACAATTTTATTAGGTTTTTCGAATTTTTTGTTACATAAATATTATTTTAATCTTACTTTGTTAAAGTAACAGATAAAGTTTTGATAAGTAAAATATGTTTAGTAACAATTAAAAAAAAACTGACAAATATTTGATTTATTAAAATATTTTTATGGGAATTTTTTTAGTAATACATGACAGTCATTTTCTTAGTCGTCTAACAATATTTTTTTTTTGATGTACACTTTCAAAGTTAACTGAATTTAATAATTAAACATAAAAATCAATATGATACTAAAATAATGAAATGTTTTGTTTAATTTTAAATTATCAAAATACCATTTCAAATTAGAAAAAAATATAAGAATTTAATAGATCTTGACATATAAACTATGGAAGAACAAAGAGATTGACGCATTTCAGGAACACTTGATAAGAAAGTGACGATATAACTCATTATCTAAAGTAAATACAAATGGATGTAGTTTATAGAAAATTTTTAAAGAAAATTATATATATATATATATATATATATATATATATATATATATATATGTGTGTGTGTGTGTGTGTGTGTGTGTGTGTGTGTGTCGGTTGGTTCGGATTTTTTTTTACTCAAACAAAAATCAGATCTAATCGAGTTTTTTTATCGGTTTAGTTTGAATTTTCAGTTTGGTATGATTATTCGGTTCAGTTTTAACACCCCTAGTTTATACAATAGTTCATAGGTTCAATTTTCAATAATTAAACTACTACTCAACCACAGTAACACAACAAACCTAGTAATTTCCTACAAGTGTAATTTGGGGAGGGTAATGTGTACGCAGGCCTTACCCCTACCCCGAGAGGGTAGAGAGGCTGTTTCCGGTAGACTCTCAGCTAAAGAAAATAAGAAACAAAGCAGTGACAACAAGCAGTAACAACAACAAGATATTATAAAAATCGAAACGAAAGATAACAATCAAACAATAAATAGTAATAACAATCTTAGAATTAAATTATACCATACTAACACTAATGCTACCGGTAAGGGGAGGAAAAGGAGAATCGCTCGACCACCTACTAATCGTCTATTCTAATTCTTGACCTCCATACCCTTCTATCAAGGGTCATGTCCTCGGTAAGTAAAAGTCGCGTCATGTCCTGCCTAATCACCTCTTCCCAATATAGGCCTACCTCTACCTCTCCTCCGCACCAAGATCAACCTTTCAAACCTCCTAACTGGGGCACCTGCGTTTCTCCTCATATGTCCGAACCATCTTAGCCTCGCCTCCCGCATCTTATCCTCCATGAGGGCCACTCCCATTTTTTTCCGAATATCTTCATTTCTAATCTTATCTACTAATCTGGTATTCCCCTACATCCATCTCAACATCCTCATTGAACATAAGAGACCTTCACTAGCCAACACTCTGCCCCATACAACATAGTCGGTCTAACTACCACCTTATAGAACTTACCTTTAAGTTTTAGAGGCACATTTTTATCGCACAAGACACCGGACGCGAGTCTCCATTTCATCCACCTTGTTCCGATACGATGTGTGATATCCTCATCAATCTCCCAATTTTCTTATATGACTAGTCCAAGGTACTTGAAGCTCTTTCTCTCTCTCAGGGATGACTTATGTATCAAGCTTTACATCCATGCTCGCTTCCTGGATCATGTTGCTGAACTTGCACTCCAACTATTCTGTCTTGGTCCTGCTCAACTTGAAACCTTTAGACTCTAGGGTCTGTCTCCACACCTCCAGTCTCTTGTTAATACCGCCTCGCGTGAATCAGAATTATGTCATATGCAAATAACATACACCATGGCACCTCCCTTCGAAGTGTCGTGTCAATGCATCCAGTGCCAAGGAAAATAAAAACAGACTAAGGCCCGATCCTTGGTACAACCCTATCACAATCCGGAAGTGTTTTGCCATCAATTGTTCTTACCCGGGTCTTAGCTCCATAATATATGTCCTTAATCAGCCTAATGTAAGCTACCGGCAGACCTTTAGCCTCCAAACACGTCCATAGAATCGCTTTCGGGACTTTGTCATATGTTTTCTCCATGTCAATGAAAACCATGTGCAAGTTCTTTTTTATTTTCCTATACTGGTCTGCCAATCTCCTTACAAGGTGAATGGCCTCCGTAGTCGAACAATCTGACATGCTGAACTGATTTTCAGAAATAGACCGCCCTATAATTCTCTGCACCTAATATTTATATTGACCCAATCAATACAACATATGTGCTTTTATATGCATTTTTGTTACTTATTGCTCGTGATTAACCGATTCAATTTTTACCTTACTTTTTATGACTTAGTTATGATAAATTACTGGATTTGATGTAAACATCAACGTACACTAAACATTTAGGTGAGATGGCACGTATTCAATAGCTAATGCATAGCCGTGTCCCGCGTAGGTGGAAGGATGGTTAGTTAAATATAGTATTTTTTATCGAAAATTTATATTGTGTACTTGAGTCAAAATTACTTTTTTAAACATATATATTAGACGATTTATCAAAATTGACTTCGCCAAGTCGTCTCATACACTACCACTATAAAAATAAAATAAAATTACTAATATAGAGTTCAAGTACGAATAATTTATTTCCAACAAGGAAAACAGCATCGTATTTTAGCATGCATTACCATTCAAGAACTCCCACGTAAAGAATCACTTTCCATAAATATTCACGTACAATCTAAACCGGAGCAGAAAATCCTTAGCCAGATCATCTCTCTATTTATTAATATCAACCAACTGGTTCTTGCCACATCACACTAAATTCCAAAAGTTCCACCTGGCACCATGTCATTCATCATTAAAGAAGAGAACACCATAACAACTATGGAACTCATTACACTCCAGTTATTATTCAAAGACTCGACAGACACAGCACACTTTCTTTTCCAAAGTATTTTTCACAGTTCCTTCCTTTTTTGTGTTTGCTCTTCATTCAATCAATACTTTTTTCCTCTCTCAATAAAGCTCAGATCTTTTTCATGAAACCCATAATGAAAAATTCAAACTCAGAACACAATTCAAATTCCAGTCATCGGAATCTCCAAAAACACAACAGTCACATATCAATGTCGGACACCGAGTCACAAGTGAGTCAAATTGACTCGTTCCACTCACCTCTCCGGTCCAACTCGCCATTACGTTCAGACGACCCTTTCACTGAACCCCACCCCCCTAAATCCCCCTCTAAGGCAATTGTTAAGTACTTCTCCCCGCTCAGATCACCGCATAAACCCTCGTCGGAAAATTTGAGCTTGCCGCCGACGCCGCCGTCAGAACGAAGATCGCCGGTTGTGTATTTTAGTAGGGCGATTAGGGAAGATGCGGCGCCTGGGGTGACGAAGGTGGGACCGGTCCGGGGTGCTGATGTGGAAGCTGGCGAGGTTGGCGGCGAGCGGCGGTCGAGGGCCGCTGTGGCGTCGATTACTGGACGGTCGCAAAGGGATGTTTTGCTGAACCGGGCGGCTTTAGGGTTTAGGGTTTGTGAGGTTATTTTTTGCTTGATTTCGTTCTCGGTTATGGCAGCTGATAAAACTCAAGGCTGGACTGGTGATTCGTTTGATCGTTACAAAGAGTACAGGTTCGCATTTGCTTTTCCTTGCTTAATCTGTTTATTATTATTCCTTTATTTATTATTTCAATTGTAAAGATAACATTTTGAAGTGGACTTTAGTGGCTAATACAGTATTGCATATAAAGTTTGGTTAGTTTTATAGATGGTCACTCAATTTTCACTTTGTTGCACTAAAGTTAACGGAAATATCTCTAAACTTCACCAAGTATTACGGAAGTCATTAGACTGTCACTTAAGTTTGCCTAATAATCACAGAAAGTCATTAGGATGAAACAAAAGATAAATTTTATATGATACTTAGACAAAGTTGATTTACTCTTTGTTTACAAAAGAATTGTTTATTGATTTTCTGTGATATTTAGGCAAAGTTGAGAGATTTTCTTATTACAAAAAATACTTTAGTGACTTTTGTGATACTTTGGCAGAGTTGAATGATTTTTTTGTCACAAAAAATGGTCTTATGATTTTGGTGCAACAAAATAAAAGTTGAGGGACCATCTGTGAAATTTAACACATAGAAACTTGTATCTAGTCTCGTTGTAATTGGAGTCTAGTTGTAATTGGAAGATAGTAGTAGTTTTTTTTTCATTATAGCAGTAGTTTGTGAACTAGCTTGTGTGCAGCTCAGCTGATAGATTTTAGCTGTAGATACGAGTTTCTGTTGCTTTGAAGTTTTCTTTCATCAGAAGCAAATGAATTCTATTTTGGTTGATCCAAGGGATTCCCAGTTGATTTCTTCTTTCATTTTTTCCCATGTTTGTACGCAGCATACAGTTATCGCGTTCAACTTAACCCAGTACTTTCGACGTGGAGCATAAATTTATATGTAAAAATCACTAAAATTATAATAAATACTAATAGATATGAATCCATAACTTTAAAATATAATGGGTTCAATGCTAAAAACTTTAAATGTTGAACCCATAGAATTAAAATCCTACATCCGCCTCTGATTTCTCCGTTTATTATTTCCCTATGAACAACTTTCCTTATGTAATGTTAAACCTAATTTTTGCCACAGGTATTGCGTAGCCGTTAATGTTATTGGATTTGCATATTCTGGATTTCAAGCATTTGATCTAGCATACAGTTTGGCCACTGGGAAACACTTTCTCTCTGACCATATGCGATATCATTTTGATTTCTTAATGGATCAGGCAAGTAATACAATTTCAGCTGGTGTACTTCCATAAACATGTGTTTCTAGTTTGAGATGAAGTTGGTAATCTATAACTGGTTTTGCTCTTAGGTATTCATTAGGCTCTTAAAATGTTGCTAACAGGGGAGGTTGCAGAGTCGTGATATTCCGTGCTCTGTAGGTCCAGCTTCTAAGTGCTTGTGTAGATTTTAGTTTCGAATCTACCAAAAAAGTTTCTGTGGAGTTTGTGCGGAAAAGAACTCCATGTGCCTTATTTAGGAGCTATTAATTACTTCATTCAGCTCTTGGTGCTGAAAAAAATCTTTTCAATGCCTCATCTAGGCTTAGGACACTCTATCTCGCCAGGTAGGGGTAAGGTCTGCGTACACACTACCTAGTACCCTCCCCAGACCCCACTTGTGGGACTATACTGGATATGTTGTTGTTGTTGTTGTTTATCTAAGCTTTAAACAACCTCATTCAAAGTTTTTGATTCACACTGGTTAGGATAGAATCAGAGGTAGGTTTACTAATCTGAACCACTGTCCGTCTAAGGCAAAGCCCAACAACCGATAGCCAACAGCATCAATTATAACACATAGCTATTCATAACTTCCAAAAGATCTTTGGGACCATCCCTTTTGAGCAAGAATTCGGAGCTAAATAACTTATAGCCAAATTCGGGGCAAGAATTCAATGAACTAGGAAAATATGTGAAATTTGAGATTATCAAAGCACTCTTTGCCCAATAAGTGGTAGGACACTTATAATCCCGACTAACAGTTCACTGTCCTATTATGACATACTTTTATGTAAGAAGTTTCACTCAAAAACTACCAGGTACATTTGATGATTCTTGCTTGTTGCAGTGTACTAAGTACTTCCTAAGTGTATAGTTTCTATCTAGCCAGTTGAAAACTTCTGGATCAATTCAATTTGTTATGATTGTGCCTGTTACATACCAAATGCTAGCTTTATTGGTATTGTTGCTGTTCTATGTATTATATGCACTGAAGATGGTCTTTATTTCTGCATGTATCTGTGCAGATATTGGCATATCTTCTTATGTCAGCATCCTCTTCTGCTGCAACGAGGGTAGACGACTGGATATCAAATTGGGGAAAAGATGAGTTCACGGAAATGGCAAGCGCATCAATCGCGCTGTCCTTCTTGGCTTTCATTGCTTTTGCCTTTAGCTCTCTTATATCTGGTTATAGCCTCTGCAACCGTAGTTCCTCATGATCCTGAAATCAGTTACCACTATTTATTCATTGCGTAATTTTGAGAAATTGAGCATTAATTTTAATTTCTGGTGGATCAGAAGATGTACAGAAGTAGTTAATAGATTTAGCAGTACAAATTTTTTTTTCCAGTCCTATAATGCAGAGAAATAAAGTACCCAAATGTGGTTAGCGAAATGCATTGTTGAGTATATAAGAATAATAATGTCCAATATCCATATTTTTTGGATATGGTATATACTACATCTGATCTGTATTGTATCTCCAGAAGATGGTTTTATAAGACTCGTAGCCTAACTAATCACAAGCCAACTTTATACTCAAATCTTTTATTTGCCGAGAAACATCATGCTCCACAAGTTGGTTTATAAAAGCATGTTATTCTGAACTTGAAAAATTGGCCTGGAAACAGAAAAAGATATCTGTCCTCATGATGACATGGCAAAATGTGTGCTTGCTATTCATGTCCGGGCGCGTGAAACCCTCAAAATTAAGTTCTCTTTGTTTCTTTTTGAATTAACCTTATTTTATAATGACCCCACTTACCTTCATCTTCATACTTCTTCAAGTTTTCACCATTGATGAAAAACAAGAACAATTAAAAAGTTTCTTTCAAATTAAAGCAAATGGGAAAAACATAAAATAAGCACACAATTTCTTACAATATATACCGTCACAATTACTTATACAATCAATCACAAGTATTACCGTAATAATTAATTGGATAAATCAAATTTCACACCATTAAGGTAGAAGAATCATGTCCGAGAAAATCTACAACAATATTCAATAAAGTAAATTGAACCCTCTAAAAATGTAAAAATAGCACTGTCTAGCCAGTTTTCGGACTGGTCATTCAAAAATAGCCAGCGTTTACCAAGTCAATGAAAAATAGCCACTATTTTGCTGCAACAGAGACCGATCCAACATAATATACTGGAGTTCGGTGCACCTGTGTATGAACTTCTAGCATATTATGCTGGAACTCCAACACACGGAAAGTTCCAGCATGATATACTGGAGATTCGAGCACTTGTGTATGAACTTCCAACATATTAAACTGGACCGGTATACTTGCTGAAACTCCAGTATATTATGCTGGAGTTCTAGTGTACTTATGCTGGAACTCCATCATATTATGTTGGAGTTCTAACATACTTATCCTGGAACTCCAGTATAATATGCTGGAGTTCAAGTATATTTATGCTAGAACTCCAGCATAATATACCGGCGTATTTTCTGGGTTTTGAACAGTGTTTTCGCTCAGATTTATCTTTACATGAAAAGTGGCTAAATTTCGATTACTTTTGAAACTGGGCTATTTTTGAACGACCACTTGTAAATTTGGCTATTTTTGAATTTCTCCCTCTAAAAATTGATGCTTTAACAAAGAATATTCTCCCAAAACCAATCACAAAAGAGAGCATATGTTTTGCTAAACTTTATGGTTGAACTCTACCACCACAACCTTTGCCGCCGCCACCAATACAGACATCATCTCTGGCAGTCAAGATGTTTGAGGCTCCTTCACGACAAAGATTAAGACCAAAATCCAATAAATTTTTGATGGGTCTTTACTGCTTGGGTTTTTTAAGAGAAGAACTTTTAAGAAAGAAATAGATGAATAGCCGACAGACGAAAAACTTATGATATAACCATTTTTCTTTAGATTTGGAGTGGAACGGCTCCGTCCATCATATTTTGGCTATGAGATCTGATTTTGGAGAAGAAGGAAGGAAAAGAATTGCAGCAACAACCCGGGAAGCAGATGAAGAAGAGAAGGTTGGGGAAAGGTGATGATTTTCTACTTGAGGGTCTAGTTGAAAATAAGGAAAACAAAATTCTTATTAATTACACGTGTCAAATATTTTAATTATAAATTACACGTGTCATTCTTTAATTGGTTTATTTGACCATCATTGGCAAGTATAACTCATGCATATGGTCTGCTCGAGTAGGATATTTACTTAATACACTTAATAGCTATTTGAAGTGTCTAAATAGTAAAGGAATCAATTCAGGTGTTTCTCTGATCGTTAAGGACAACTTAAAGGGACCGTTTATAATAAATGTAATACTAGGGAAATTGGTCTCAAATTTTCATCATCTGCACCAGCAAAGATTTGTTATAAGAAAGGTAAATTGACGGATATACTATAAATAATTCGAATCCCAGGACAACTAGAAACTATGGACCTAAATTTCGAAAGATGTTTGGTACTATGATTTGCAATTTGTACGCTCCAACTTGTTTTGGAATTCCACTTCCAACTTTCCATTTCAGCAATAACATTTTTCTAGAAAGATTAAAATTAGACCAGTTCGTTAGGATCATCCCTCTGTTTTCCTTCATCTAGTCTAGAAAAGGAAATAGTTCAGTAACAAGAAAACTTCCTATTTCGTCAGAAATAGAAGTTTGTCTTGAGCTTTTCCTCCTGTCCTCCTAGCCTTCCTTTTTTGAAAATTGAAGCCAACATCCTTCCAACTACACTGCTTTCTTTAATTTCCACCTCCTCATGCTGAAACATAGTCTAGACTAATCATCAAAGTCCCAAATGAAGGCCTAGCCTCAACGTCTGAGAGCTTATTATCATAAGAAAGCTCTTGAAACACAGTTGTGCAGCAACCTGTGAGGTGTTAAGGATAACTTTAGCATTATCTGTTCAACTACCATCTGGAGTCTTTCTCCTCTGATCCGAGGCTGAGGGATCCTGCTTTCGTGCCTCTCCAAAATTTGATCTGCATTTGATGGCACGACTCGAAAGTTAGAATATCCAAACTCAAGCATCCATTATGTGATTTAGTATTTAGCAGTACGGTGGTAGAACAGTTACTTTGACTATCTGTGCCTTTTGATTTGTGTCTCAGATATTCTTGGAGAACAGGAAGAGAATCCTTAAAACATAGATGACAAGTAATCTATTAGCACTAACTAGGTGACTGCAGTTCATGCATCCCCAATTCTTCTCTAAGAAATTCCGGTAGTTAACAAAATTGAGACACCAGATGACAAGAAAATTTACCTGCCCAATTTAAAGAATGTGTAAGGGGGGCACCGCTGGTGAGCTCTAGTTCTCTATTCCACACTACCACAAAGAAATCTTTGTTTAACTTTTAAATAACATGACAGCGCACAGTATCGACATGTACTCATCTTTCTCGCGCTTTTTAAGGAAATATGCAACCAGTCACAAGAGGCTCCTAATAGGAACTGTAACTGCACCTGTTTGCCCTATAATTGCTGTTCAGAACTCAACCTTCCTAGGAAAACTAGCACATATCATGTCACAAACTAAAATGTCAAAATCAGATCACTAAGATAACAATCATTATGTCCCCTCCCTTCTCCTTGCAAAGAGCTTCTCAATACACGAGGATACAAAAGGATTCATATAGCTAACTCCAACTAATACGGGATTGAAACATACTCCCCCGTTTCAATTTAGATGAGGTAGTTTAACTCGGCACGGAGTTTAAGAAAAGAAAAAAAGAAGACTTTTGAAACTTGTGGTTTTAAAAGCTTAAGGGTTAAAAGCTTTGTGGGGCCATGATATTTGTGTGATTATAAAAGCTTCTCATTAAGGGTAAAATGAAGAGTTTAAAGTTAAACTATTTCCAATTGTTGAAATGTGTCATTCTTTTTGGAACGGACTAATAAGGAAAATGTGTCATCTAAATTGAAAAAGAGGGAGTAGTTGATAGGGAACAGTAAATAATACCACCAGGTTCCTGCTTGTATTTGATGGGTGATCTGGAAGGAGAGAAACCAGCGATTCTTTGCAGGAAAACATGAGTGTACATAGATTAAAGTAAAGATGTATTTTCTCTTTTAGCTTTTTGGTGCAGAAACCTTGATGTAATGGAGCACGTAAATCTTGGCAAAAGTCTCCCTAATAGCATTTACGAGAACTGATTATGAGACCCCCTTGACTCCTTGTCTGTGCAGCAATGGAATTGAGTTTTTGGCTTCTGTAAAGCACACTCCATAGCATTCAATTGATGGAGGTTGGAAAAAGAACCTTACGAACTGATCAAAAACGTGACCAGGACTCCCAGTAATATTTGACATGATCATAAGGTCATGTAGACCTTCTGGACCGAAACCAATTTTCAATGCAGCATAATAATGAGAAATGAAGAGCTTGTCAGTGAGACTCTTTAGTTAAAAAATAATGAAACTCACCCGCATGTTGAGCATTTCTTGTGATGCTTGCAGAATATGGATAAACAAACAGAGCATATGTAGCCCATGTCAATTGTGTTCTTGTGGCAAAAGCACCTGCAAGTAAGTAGAAACTTCATAGGATGAGCAACAATAGTTAATTGAGTGCGAAGAGGGCGAAGAGTAATCCCAATACTACATTGGAGTATGAGCTCAAGGAATTTGTGTCAAAATGGACTTAGAAATTGGAGTACAGATTTATTTGGTGCCAGACAGCAGGACCTCAGTTAATACTTGCAGTTGCTATTAGTAGGATAGGTCTCCTGAATTAAACATCCCTTTTCCTATTTATTGTAATAGGATTCCACCGGATTCTTTTTTATTCACTAACATAACTAGGATGATTCTTTTCAAAATAACTAGGATGATTGAAAGAGAAAATGGTCACCACCATCTAAAGTGGCTTAGATAGAAAATTCTCATTCATCAGTTTCTCACTTCTAGTTATTACCTATGTTGCGCGGACTAAAAATCCCTACCGCACCCGTGTCGACACGACATGAGTGTGGGTGGATCCATACCGGATTTGGTCAACTTACCTTGGGTGCTTTCACTACAACAATGACGGAGAAGTATAAATTGATTGGGTACTTGGTTTGATTTTTGTGTTTATATATATATATATATATATATATATATATATATATATGATAAAGTATGAGAATATTTTGCTATTACGCAAGATAACTTATGAATTAAATATTAAATATTTTAATTTCAGTAACCTTAGTGGGCGTTTGAACATAAGAATTGCAAAAAATTCGAAAAAAAGTAAAAAAATAAATTCAAGTGAAAATGGTATTTGAAAATTAGAGTTGTGTTTGGACATGAATACAATTTTGGGTAGTTTTTGAATTTTTGTGAGTGATCTGAAGTGAAAATTTTGAAAAATAACTTTTTGGAGTTTCTCAAATTTTCGAAAAATTCCGAAATTCATCCTCAAGTGAAAATCTAAAATTTATGGACAAACGCTGATATAGAAAAAAAGTGAAACTTTTCGAAAAAAAAAGGCATCTTTTTTTATAGCCAAACGGGCCCTTAATA